GTTATTATGATTATGACCATGATTATGATGATGATAATTATGGTGACCATGATTGTGATGATAATGACAACGGTTATTATGATTATGACCATGATTATGATGATGATAATTATGGTGACCATGATTGTGATGATAATGACAATGGTTATTATGATTATGACCATGATTATGATGATAATTTTTATGATGATGAGATGATATTATGATGGTGACCATGATTTTGATGATAATCATTATTGTGAAATTATTATGATGGCCATATGAATATGAGGATGATCATGATAATACTGGAGATTGTTATGATACTGAGGATGATCGTGATTATAATTGTGGCAGCGTTTTGGATGAGGATTGTGACAATGAGGATATTGAGGATAGTTGTCATGACGATGAGGATGATTATGATGTTAAAGTTGATGGTAAATATGATGACGGTAATATTGATGAGGATGACAATACAAACAGTAGCTATGGTTGTGATATTGATATAATGTGATGCCAACGATGACGATGGTCGTAGTAATTATGGTTAAGGCACAGTATATACTATTATGATGAATAATTATAGTAATGATCGATTAGGATTGGGAACGTGACGATCTTAAAGTCCATGTTCCGTTCTTAATCTGCATTTTGATTCTGCTTTCCGATTCTACTGACTCATTTGCTGAATGAGATATTGGTACGATGACATCACATGTGTCACCATTTTTTGCTGATTAAAGGAAAATACAATGGTTGAAGACAAATAATGCATTAACATCCAGTGTGGCCAACACAATCAGGTAACGTTAAGAGGGAGCAGTTTGCACGCGATTTGAACCGACCTTGCACGGTGCGTTCAAGGTGCTTGGACAAAATTAGGTACTCGTCCACAAATAAACATTGACCAAAAAAATGATAGTGATGGTAATGATGATAATGATGATGATGATGGTCGCGATGATGACAATGACAGTTGTAATTACGGTGATCGTAATGATAATGAGGATGATGACGGTGGCGACTGCACTAATGGAAATTGTGATGATGATGATGATGATGTACTGGTGTCGCCACATTTATGTTCACTTCTCCAGTTGGGTGATTGGTGAAACTGCTTGAAGACCTTCCGAGATTGTCCTCCTAATCAGAGCTCAGTGTCAGGATCGAGCTTAAATGAAATCTTTTGCGATTAGTTATTTCTCTCAGGAAAAAAAAAAAAAAAAAAAATTGCCAAAGCCGATTGGTCTACTCTATTTATAATGGTTTGCGTTTTTGTCAATATGCATTTGACGTAAAGATACATTTTATACCTTTAGTTATTTATTGTGTTTTGGCCAACTTAATAAAAAATATTCTTGAATATTCTTCTTTAATTTTCTATAAATTATTATCTTAAAATTCGGCTGAATCTTAATCATCTAGAAAATCTTTTTAGCTCATGATTTCTTTGCTTACTTTCCTGCTGTGATTTGCAGGAGAGAAAAAAAAATACACCCCATCATCAATACTAAGAATGTCTGAAATACACATTGATTTTGAGTCTGATGTGAAAATACATGTCATTAAATTTGCAGAAGGTATCGATTATATGTCTTATATTTAGTTTTACCAGGAGGATACGGTGATGGATTTGATGTCTAAGAGAAACAGAATGAATTGTAAAAAAAAAAAAAAAAAAAAAACTATCTGGATGACTTAGCGTGTATTTAACAAATCCATTAACTTGACACTGCTTTGTCATTGTTATAATGCATGGCAATATTTCTCTGTAGTTTTTTTTTTTTTTTTAAGGACATGACTGAAACAAAGACTAATTTAAGTTTTTCTAAGCAACTTTTGTGTCTGGTTTTGTTCAATGAGAGGAATCTGCTGTTTTTCCTTGAAGCTACTTTCAGGATAACCTTCTGCCGTTCTTTGTTAAAATATGAAATATTTTGGGTTGGTGAACTTTTTGGGTGATTTATCAGAACTATTGTGAAAACTTCAGGGTCTGACATCCTGGACTGTTTCATCGTTACTTTAGCTAACTTCTGTGGCTCAAGTTTGAGTTAAACGCTAACGTAGAATTGGATAGATTATTGTCTGACTTTGGCAATGAAGCTCATTCTATTTACGTTTATCGCTCGACTTCAGTAGTCTTCGAACTCTGTACTTGTGTTCTTGTTCTGTTCTGTGCCCGTTCTTTGCTAACTTTTCATTCGAATTTTAGCTTATCCTGACTTTAAACAGAGATGACTTTGAAATCAATCGTTTGTTTTTTTCCTTAATTGTTTGTTGCCCACTGATATGGGTGAAGTTTTCCACCTTCTGTCCAACATGGTGAGAGACACCGGCTCAGAAACCTACCTCCTGTCCATCCTTCAGCATCTATTGCTCATCAGGAATGACTATTACATCAGGTAAAAGCTGCGTGCATCTTTCACACTCCTGCCTCCATATTCACTCCTGAACCCATGCTGATGTTCCCGCCTAACTTTTTCTTTTCTGCTGTCAGTCTGACTTTATTGTCTGATTTTACTTTAAAAAATGTATTATTTATTCATCAATGGCCTTGATAACTGGGCATTTTCTCTTCAGGTGTTTTTGCGATGGCTCATTGAGCTTCGTCTAGTGATGAGATCCTTATACTGTAATGTGATTGGATTAGCTCAATAATGAACGTTTTCCCTTTTTCACAAATCATCTTGTGCATTAGAGCTCAGATGCTGCGACTGCACGTTCTCCTGGTAATGGATCGGTGTGATAGTTTTGTGGTTGCGTGAAAGCACGGGGCTGAAATCCTGCCCTCGGTTGGAACCAGTAGTTTTGTGGTTGTGTGAGAGCACGGGGCTGAAATCCTGCCCTCGGTGGTTTCTGTGGCAACACGGGATTAAATGCGAAGAAAACCAACTTTCCCTCCAGTATTAATAAAGTACTTAAAAATGTCCAACCCTGACCCCATGCTTTAGTAATGGGAACAGGTTGCGTCAGAAAATCCAGCAGGTGAAAACCAGCTTCAACATGAAGTAACATACATTCTCTGGTCAAATGAGAAATTATCTGAGCATTTTTCTTTCTTTCTTCTTCTAATTCTAGCATAGTGATGATGTCATAGAAATACCTGAACAACCAAACTACTTCATGTGACATCGGGGGTGTGCCCGGATTCCAAAATTAAAATTAAATAATAATGTTAGACAAAAATTTGGATTTTTATTTCATTTCATTTGGTTGTTCTAAAAACCTAAAAACAGCTCAGTGATAATCAACTGGTGGCCTGCGGGCCGAATCTGGCCCACCCAACCGTCTAATCCAGCCCGTGACTGTATTCCAAAAATAACATCAAATAATAATGTTAGAAAAAAATTTGATTTTTATTTCATTTTATTTGGTTCTTCTGAAACCCCGAAAACATAACTCAGTGATAATCAACTAGTGGCCTGCGGGCCGAATCCTGCTCGCGAAACATCCCGCAACTGGATTCCAAAATTCACATCATGTAATAATGTTAGACAAAAATGTGATTTTTATTTCATTTCATTTGGTTCTTCTGAAAACCTGAAAACATAACTCAGTGATAATCAACTAGTGGCCTGCGGGGCGGATCTGGCCCGTCGAACATCCCGCGACTGGATTCAGACGTAAAAATTATTTCATTTTATTTAATTGTCCATCCCCCCAAGAGGTTTTCCAGACCAAAAACTGGTCCCTCTGACAAATACATTTGGTGACCCCTGATGTGACCTATTGTTGACGGGTTGTATCCAATGTCGTTTTAGCTAGCACCACTGCTTAACGCTAAGTTAAAAAAAAAAAAAAAAAAGAGAGCCGATTCGCCCGAGACCTTTATGTGCCCCGCTTGTCAAAACCCAGTGATTGACAGGTGAATATGAGACAGAACAATCCCTCCCGCATATGTTACGTATGTGTATCTGGATTATGACATTAAAGGGTAATTCTAAATAAATCCACCTCAACAGAAGGGTTGTTGCTCCTGTGAATGAACGATAAATCCAGCGCCGCGTGCCGGCCGAGGCTTCCTCTGAATTAATTCTTTAAAAAACACTCAGTTCGATGTCAGGTGGATGAGAAGGAGATGATGAATTGACTGTAGACAAGACGCTGTTTCCTCTGACTAATGAATTATTTATCACTTTTTCATCAACGTGGATGAAGAGCAGAGGAATAAAAATCATATTAATCGGCTTGTGGAGCCACGTCCACCGTAATAAACCCACTTCACTCACAGAACCATCGGTTCCGAGCCTCCTGGTAAAACTGATGATGGCTCCTTTTTTTTTAACAGATGCGCGCTACTTTTTTTTTTTTTCTTTCTTTTCCTACCTCATGGCCTCTAAAACAACTGCAAGGACAAACCCACGCATGTTCTCACACCAGCAGAAAACAGCCAGGAGGCTTTTTTTTTTTTTTTTTTTTTTTTTTCAGATTGAGGAGTTTTATTATTTCATGTCTCCGCTGTGGAGAAGATGATGACAGTAATGATGATGTACAGCGCTGCACGCTGTCTTTTTAAACTCAAAGGCTTTATTTATTATTTGTTTATTTATGTATTTTCCCCCCGTAAGATGCCTCTGTTGTTGTTTCTGTTTCTTTAGTGCAGTTATTGGTATATTTGAAATAAAATGAATAAATGAAAAATATATTTTTTAAATTTTTTTTAAATTAATTTTAATTTTGTTTAGTGCAGTTAATGGTATATTTGAAATGGAATGAATAAATGAAAAAATATACTTTTTTAAAGTTTTTTTTTTAATTTTTAAATTTTTTTTAATTCTAATTTTTTAATTTTTATTAATTTTTTCAAATATCTTAAAAAAATTTAAGTTTTATGTTAAGATAATAGAGATATATATATATATATTTAGCATACAAAGAGTGCATTTAATAAACATGAAATCAATATGGCGACCAAAAAAAACAAAAAAAAAATCACCATTACATAGTTACAGGAAAGGAGCTACAATGTAAATTTAAGGAGGGGAAAAAATATATAAATTTTCAAATTTTATTCTTAGTTGCATTTGTTTTCCACACTTATGGTTATGGTCTACACACTACACAAGTCATAGGCCACCAAAAAAAAACAAAAAAAAAAAACTGTTCGTGTTCCATGATTAGCCCCCGGGCCTGACTTTGAACTGGGCTGATGTGTGGTTTTACTGTCGCTCCTCCTTGAAGCCCACACAGATATAACCGCACTTCTCTGTTCTCCTCCTTCTCTCCTCGTGCCTTCTCTTCTCCTCTCTGCTGTTTTTCTCCAGGGCCTGGTTTATTTCTGATAATTAATCTGTGGCTGAAAGTCTAATGAATCAAACCCACCCAGAAAATTTAGAGCAAATCTGCTTCTTTTGGAGCTCAGTGATACAGGGATTAGTCTGGGTTTATGTGGAGCAGCCAGGGTTAGAAATGAAGGTGGTGCAGTGTAAAAAAAAAAAAAAAAAAGAGGGGGGGGCTGATTAGAGATGGGTGGGGGGGGACATACCATATTTATATTTATGACAAAGCTCCAGAAGCTCCACCCACTGTGACAGTTTTGGGTCACATTCTACATCTTCACTTATCTGCTCTCTGCCACCGTCGTCTTCTTGGTGGTGAAGCCGTAGAGGACAGAGGACACTGGGAAAAAAAAAAATGCTGCAGCTTATTTAGATAATAAGGTGGTGTACAGTGGTGACAGTTGTAAGCTGCGCAGCTTAAGCCATGCAGGCTGCTGTGTGTGTGTGAGCGAGTGTGTGTGTGTATGCGTTACGTGGGGCTCGTTCCAGTCATCAGTGGGCGAGCTTCAGCCGCTTAGTCTCCCGAATGCATCACATTTGCTGCTTTCAGACCACGGCACCTCCTGTGTAGCTGCTGAATTAATCTGATTCACTGTGGCACAGGATTTGGTGCCCTTTCAAATCTCTGTAAGTAACTCTCTGTGAACTGTCCACCCACCAGGTTCTGGCTGAACGTAGCCTTTCTAAGCTGTGGGCAAACACAGTCGAACACGGTCAAACCCTCTAATGTCTACTAATGCAACACGCTGTTTTCACCTGCTGCAAAGTTCCCTTAAAAGTATAGGGGGATGGCAGCAGTTTTAGCCCACCGAACAAAAGAGGGACAACAGGTTTAATTCCAAAACCAAACCATGGCCTCTGTAAACAACGGAGATGCTAAATAAACAATTTGACAAAAATGACATCAGGCTCGCTCGCACGGTTATTTTGGCTCATATTCAGCTCATTAACAGCGAGAATAAATCGAGGGCTTTTTCAGGGATCACCCTAATGGAGTTCCGTCTGAGCTATCTTGCATGCTTGCTAAAGGTGATGTTTTCCAGATTTTCTATTTGAAGATCATAAATATTAAAACTAAGATAAGCGTTTAAATAGAGCTCATATGCGTATGAGTGATTGGGATCAGACAAATTTCGTCGCGCATAATCGTGCCCGCTGACTAGAACGATGGCTAGTCAGCTCACGTAATTCCAGTTTTGAACTCATTTTGTGCAGAAAGGAAGGGAAACTACTCTCACGAGCTGAAGCTAACGTGTCGCTAGCTCGGAGTTTCAAGTTCCAAGCTTACTTGAAATATTTCGAACACTTTAGCCAACACAAAGCCCAATGTGAAGAAGCTAACAAAACAGCGTTTTTTTTTTTTTTTCATTTTTTAAGTAATTGTTACTGGAGCTACAGTATTTCAAATCGTGTTATGCTACTTTAGCAGCTTGTTGTAGGCTAACACTAAAGGTTTTACAGCTGACAACCGACCCGAAGATAGACACAGATTATTAGCAATGTTGAGCTTTGATTTGTTAGCAAAAACCAGTTTGGGCATGTCAAACTTATTATAAAAAAAAAATGCCAGTCGCTGCATCTCTAACTTATTATAAAAAAAAATGCCAGTCGCTGCATCTCTATGGCCGACATAGTTACAAGTCAAAATATATTAGAAATATACTAGAAGTATATAAAGTCTAAAATATAAAAATAACCAAAAAAAAAGCAAGTCAAAAAATGCATTTTAGCTAAGTAACAAAAACAACTCATAGTGACGAAGAAATAAAATATTGCCTAATATAAAATTAGATACATTTTCTTTTTAAATAAAGTGATAGAAATTTGAGTGAATGGGACGTGAAACGGCAGATAAGAAAATGAAGAGAGATATTTTAGAAATTAATAATTCCAAAGTTGAACTTCAAAGGAAGTTTTTTTTATTCTTTATTATCCTGAAGAATATAAAAATATTCTTTCACCTTGGGGGCAGACACTCCTCCCTGACCCAGTATTTATTAAATGTCAGCTGTAATTTGAGTTGATAGTGTTAGTGAGAAAAGGTTAGGAACGAGCTTCACTGCGTGTCAGAGTCTGACTCTGAGTCACAGACTGAATTTTTCCCCAGGGATTAGAAGTGTTTTAAACTTTGCTACATTTATCGAGCCTGTCTCAATGGTGACTTCTTAGTGGTTGCATTCAGTGATTCAAATTCTGATACTGAGTTTTAGAGTAAAGTGTTAGCCGCTTACTGCTAATTCTAAGCATATCCGTGTTATCATCAACTGTCATTTAATACTTGTCGTCTTCGAGGCGTCGGATCAGACAGGCTATAGTTGGATGGATGTTTGGATGGATGGATGATAGATAGATGTATGGGTGGATGTATGGATATATGGATGGATGGATGATGTATGGATGAATGGATGTATGGATGGATGGATGGATGGATGGATGGATGGAT